ATTTTTATTCTAATTCTTTATGTTCATAGAATAAAATTTTATCGAATTTAGTTCGGTTGTTTTCGTGGTATTGCTAGCAATAGCTGGACATCAAACACCATCAAAATATTCCATGAACCAATAAATATTTTTATATGAAATACTTTAGACCATAATTCACGATAACTATAGAACCAAGAAACATCTCAGCAATAAGAGAATAACTGATATTCGAAATTTTCTTATCACAAATGTACAGGATATGCCATCGTCTGAAGTCTTTACGTACGTACGTGCTAAAATTATCTTGCTTAAGTAATAATTCCAGTCATTTATAGTCATTTATATATCAGTTATAGCTGTCTAAATTAGGAATTGATTTACCTTGATCAATCAAACATAGCATAGCACAACGCTAGATTATATATAATGGTAATATATTTTTTTCCTTTATAAATCTCATGATGAACATCTTTTCCAAAAAGCCGGATCATAATAGATCTATTAATGAAAATTCTCTTTGTTATCATATTGTAAGTAATATAATTAATTATAATGGTTTCTTTTTTTTTGTTTTTTTAAAGCAATTAAAAATTCTATTGACGTTAATATAGGAGGGATTTCTTAATTGCTCATACTTAAATTCTGCAATCGATGTGGGTGACAAATTAAAACAATCCAATGTTAATTCTAAAGATAGAGATATACCAGCAGTGAATGTTAATGTATTAATTCATAAAAAAGAAGAGGTTTGGTGTTATGTCAAATATTTTATTAACATTTTTAAATATAAAATCTTTTTTTGTTAATTAAATAAATTTATTTTTTTGATGCAATATAATAGTGGAATGAAAGAATAAAATATTTACAATCTGTAAGCTTCCATTTTGCTAAATTTTGATTTTTTTTTTTTTTTATTCCTTTCAACAGTGTGTCAACTATCATTATTTCTAAATTTGTTAATAGAAAATTTCGAATTCAAATAATCACACTTCATCACCATTTATATATGAAGGTTGTAATCCAAAAGACTATAAATTTATTGGCGGATATTCAAATTTTATTAAGTTGGTTAGAGAAAGGTATCAAGGTTTAGATCTTCCCAGAGATATTAAGAAAGAGGGTGGGAAAGAATGTGAAAACGGTGTATGTAAAATTTAAAATTAATAAAATATCGTTTCTGTGAAGTTAAGCTATCCATTCAAATATCTACACAACTGACTGGAGCTGAGGAAAAAAAACAAAATGAAAGCTTTAAGCCTTACCTTACGAATTTTCAAAAGATCTGTTTCTTTGGATCCTGACTTAGGTTTGAACGTCCAGAAATAGAATTTAAATTAAGTTCAATATATGGATACCAATTGTAGTTTAAAATTTATTGGCTGACTTTAATAAAAAGGTCAGATACTTATAAATCAATCCAGTTATCTTCTTGATTAAAATGACAAAATTTAGTAAATTTTGATTTTAGTAGGTATTACTCTATTACAGATTTAAATGAGATATAAGACCCATCAACTAATTCATAAAATGCCACACTAGATCTTACTACATATTGATAATAATGTTTTACTATATTTAGCAGAAGATGTAGAGTATTATATTATTTAACTACATAATATATTTTCTTGTAAAAATAACTTTTTTTTACTAATAAAAATAACATATTTGGACTTTACTAAATCAAATACTGCA